CTAACCTCATCCTGTAACTCTTCAATAATTGTAGCTTTAGTGCATGATGTGTATCAGCTGAGGCTGGCTTAGGAGAGAAGGTGGACAAAAATCTGAGAGGCAGACAAAATTTTCTTTCATTCATTCCTGTCTAGTTACTCCTATGATCTACTTTACTGAAGTAAGTAAGAGTCAGTCAGTTTGGTGATTGCTTTAGACTGTAGTGATTTACAAGACAATGGATTTTGATTACTACTTGACTTAAATAGCTCTCTACATAGAACAACAGATTGCTGAGAAAATTTAATTCAACAATCAAGAGATTCAAACATTGACTCTTACCAGACCATAAAATCTCAGCAACACATTTTAATATTCATACGAATGAAATGCTCTTCCGCTATACAAGCAAAATTCTTTGGACGATGAAAATGCACCATGTCTCAAGACCCATGATATTCCCCTTGGGATTTAGTTAATTTAGGAAAACTGAAGCCCACTAATTTTATACATGGGAGCCACTAGTAACATGAATAACTATTTTTAAGTCTTATTTGTTCCTGAGCAGGCAAGATTCATGTAAACTAACTGATGAGTTAAGTACTGCCCTGGCAGTTGCTGACAAAAGATGCTGCAAACTATACATAGCGGTGGGAATTTATTGTCACCCACAAGTGGCTGGAACATGTATTAAATACTGTTGCATTTATTAAAACCAACAGAGTAAGTCTCTTCCAGGCAATTTCAATCATTAATGAATTATACAAATTGTATCCAAGATAAGAAAAGATTAAAAACCATAGTCCTAATTAATGTGTACTTTTTCAGTAGCACAAGCACACTTATATACATTTCATTACACAATTGCCAATGAGATTCAAACATTTCTCTCTGCTTTTCACCACGCTACATTTCAACTTCTTATTTTCATGAAGAATTGTGAATCCTTTCTCACACAAACATCCGGTAAAGGTATTAACTACTACTTAGAATTCTTGCATTTGCTTTTCTGCTAAGTATATCAACAGTACTATTTGTGCATTTGCAAAATTCTACATAAAAACTTTTAGATGGAACATAAAAGGAGAGAGATAAATGAAAACAGGCAGTCCCAAACAGGGTAAGAAAAGTTCCTAGAGACTCTGGTCATGTCTCAGTATTCATTCAGATATTCTTCACACAAAGCAACTTCAAAACAACTATTCTAAAGGTAGGGTAGCCAATTTCCAAATGGGACAAGGGTTAAAAAAAAAAAAAAAAAAAAAAAAAAAAAAAAGGAACTGCCCTGGGAAATGATCCCGTGTTCCAAGACATCCTAGACAGAGACAAACCTCAATGGAACAGGCACATCTCAGTGCCAGTGAGCAAGTGATGCACCTAGGAGCAGGAGAGATGCGTATTTACTATATCCCTGTGAAGGTGGATGGAGTTAGCTGTTGTCAAATCCCAAATGTGTAATTAAGGAAAAAAAGTTCCCGTGTTTCCTTTCTGAAGGGGAAGAGACAAAGTTTCTACTCCACTGGAGCTGTAATTACATACTATAGCTTCATGGTACGTAATGTTTTTCCCACGTTTTGTCAGGTAGTAGAGAACAGTCCATTTGACAAGTAGAGCCAGTGGCTCCGCAAACTGAATCCAGTCTCAGTTTTCTTACAATACAACAGCATTTCTCTCTGCTTCAAAGCAGGACTTGCAAAACACCTGCATAAATACGACAGTGGTTCTGCTGACAGTAGGGTGACTCAACGTGAATGAACCACTTGCACATCAAAAGGCAACGTACCAAAAGCAATACACCCATATGAAACTCCAAGAGTCTCAGTGCTGAGGATTCAAAAACTGGTGACAAGCAAAGCGCTTGCTCCACAGATCAACAGCGACTATCCCAGATTTTGCAACATGAGAGCAACAGCTCATCTGTACCAGAATTAGACACAGGATTCTCACAAGCTTTTCTGTAGCAGGCACACGGGGATGCAAGACTATGCCAGTAGAAGGTGCAGAAGCAGGCCTTTGAGCAGCTGATTTAACCTCAGACCATTCAAGCTTTATCCATAGCAGCCATGACTTAAAGACTCCTAGATATTTCCAGAAGGCTTATTCCAAGATTGTATCTGACAGCTATACGCAGATTTCTGAGCTGCTCTCCAAACATGGAGGGAGAGGAGAAAAATTAAAAAGGGAAAATCAAGTGGCTACTTTTATTTGCAGTGCTTTTATTTACATGGTTTTAAGTAGTATTTCCTTTTATTTTACCTCTCATACCTTAAATGACAGATTTTTCTTTTTCCTTTTGATAGTCGTGTCAATTTGGAGTTTCAGGTCAAAAAAAAACAAACAAACAAACAAACAAAAAACCCACAACCCTATCCAAAGTGCACACCTTTAGGCAACTGAATCCAGGCAGAAAAACTCTTGAGTACATGTCTTCGCTGGTTCCTACAGCTTCCAGTGCTTTATAATTAGAAACATCTCAAACAATGAGACTCAACAGTTACAGCAAGTAATTCTGCTGCTGTTTTTCTTCCTTTACATCAATGTAGAGATAATTATCTCTTTTCTAATTCTCAAAAGTTTTTTTAAGTTATTTAATTTGCTCTGCAAAACGCTGGAATTGCTTTTGAAGATGAGGCGTTAAGTGTAATCCACAGTCATTTTTCTCTTTGTTCATTTTTTGGAGATGTTTCTCACAGTCCTTTGTCCTCCTTGACAGTTCCTGACAGTTTTATAGGTGAGGATGGCAAAAGGAAAGCTGTGTCAAATACTATAGCTGCATTGGTGGCTCTCTGTACAAATGCTTTTTGACAGTTAGTAAGGTTAGATGCAACAAAATTCCTAATGTTTTTATACTGCAGGCATTTAAGCAGCCTCCTGGAACCAAAATTCATGCAGTTTGCTACTCTTTCCAGATGACAGCCTTGTAATTAATGGTAATTTTATTTTAAACCTATAATCTTGATATTTCAATCACCACTTGAGTAAACAGTGACGATTAAAACTGAAGTATAAAGTGTCCCTGGGAGATATTCTGGTACACAGCACATGAAGAATTAGTTATATAATTTCCACTACTAATTCCGAATTCTACATATTTATTTCCTTATTCAATTCACTTTAAAGAAAACCAAACCTCTAAAAACAATTTTTCAATAAATCTTTATAAACACTGCAATTACTACACATATTTCCTTTTTTTTTCCTAGAAATATGGAAACTATCACGATTATTCCTTAATAATTGTTTTATACAATGTTTAAATTCTCTGAATCTGTTTAATTGCAGTCATGGCTGTCGATAGGAACAACTGTTAAGTCAATATTTTGGTGGAAGCAAGATACAAAATCTCAAAAAAACATCCGTTCCAGTTAAGTTATTCAGAGAAAAGATGCCACTTGCAAATTACGTGGACATGCTCCACCCTTCTGAATGATTTCTAAAAGCACTTTGCAGACTTGAAACATCCCTGATTTATGATATTTTCTCTCATTTAAGATGTGACACCTCTCACTTAAGCTTTGCTTTTCCTTCTGTTCTCTCCCCAGATTCCTCCAATCACCAAGTGATCCCTCTCTGGATAACCTCTTGATTGCACTCCTACAATTAACTTTATTTTAATTATTTACTAACTTCCCATTCCAGTAGAGATGGGGAACAGGTAGAAACACTGGATGTTATCAGCTATAAATAAGTCCTTACTGAGTGCCTACTCAAGTTTTCTTTGTTCTGTACCCTGTAATCGCACAAAAATAGCAGGAGTCACAAGCTGCATGACTTTCTATTCCTAATACCACCCAAATGGTATGTATGCTCACATCCTTTCAAAACACTGGCCAGGGACACCTCTAATTAAAAACTAAGTATCACACCATGGTGACTCTCAAATAAAAAGCACTCTGGTATTAAGAGACACAAGTCCTGGAAAATCTTCAGTATACAAAGTTTTTCTTCTGAATGCTTTTGTCTTCCTACATCTAACCAAAACACAGACATATCCCTCCCTTCCTTCCTCTCTGCCCCCCCCCCCCCCCTAAGTTCAGTAATGATATTCATTTGTTTGATATTTACATTCTGGGGTAAACACTTAATACACAGTGCATGGGATTCATTTAAAATTAAGACAAACAGGTACAACTGTCAACAGGTGTAGCAGATGTTTAGGCTTTCATTTCACTGAAGGGTACTCTAGAGCTCATCCTAAAATAGGGACCTAGTACCTGGTCAGCATTCTTTAGGCTCCATGGATTATAGGGATACGATCTTAATGTACTATAATCGTAGTATAGCTACATACATGTGGACACTAAATTGGTACGTCTAAATCTCAAACAATTCCATCATGCCTGTTCCAAGTAACTCTAAAAGACAGAATGAAAACCAAAGATCCTAAGACAGACAATGGAAATCATTACTTATGGGAAGTCTTGTGAAGACAAACTAGCGATATTTCAGTTGAATGAGGAAACTAACAAGATGAGGCATGGAACAGTGAAAAATGATGAATGCAGACAAAATGTAGCTCAGTCTCATTTGCTGCTTGTGCTGGGAACATGCCATTTCTGAATTCTTTACTCATTTGCTGATTTATTTTTAAAACATAAATTTACAAATGTCTAGACAGTGACAGAGATCTTCTGAAGCAAACCAACCTATTAATCTAGGTACACAAGAAAGAATAAAAAATTGTATATTCATTACTTTGTGAATATCTACACTGTATCTTCATATAGCAAGAGAAACAATGTGGTTTTCTCTCATATTTTCTATCAGGTTGTTTTAATCTGCCCTTTTAAGTTTTTAAAAGTTCTATACTCAGGAATAGACTACAAGAACTTGCATGCACGAGCAAGAACTTTTTCAAATGCTTTAGAGCACTTAATGTCCATATCACAAAAAAAACAACTACAAAAATCTGAGAAGTACTCTTCAAAATACAGTAACACAAACTAGAAGTGCATAAAACCAGGAGAATACTACAGAATACTGCATCGGTGTAGGAAAGAGGGAAGATGTTTCAAACTTACCCTATTGACATTGCTGTTTCTTAAAATAATCTGAATTAGATTTTTCTTAAATTCTTCCAGCTTCTTGAAACACTTCTTCAAAACATGATTAGATAATTTAGTATCAGTTATTAAGCTGATCAAAACACAAACTGCTTCAGTAAGAAAATTAGAAACTGGAAATTTAGGACTGTTATAAAAAACAGTTAGTCCATCAAGCAACTGAGACACTGAATTGCATACAGTAAAAGAATCATTCTCAAGCTCTGTGAAGTCCGCTTGAAGAATTCCTCCTTCTGACAGTTTTCTGATTTCAAGCAGATGTTGCAAAAACTGCACCGGAGCAGTTAGAGATTCCTCCTTGCTAGTACAGCAAAGATTCAATGGGGGAATTCTTTCCAACCAACATTTAGAAGTGTTGACATGCTCAGACTGGTGAAAATCAGAAGCTATGCCCAAAGAATCGAATGCATAGTCATTAGACACATCACATCCAGAGTCTTCTAGCTGGCTTGAGTAACTCATAGGGTTTATACATTCCTGACCCAGAAGAGTTTCGTCAGAAGCATCTGGTTTTCCTGAAACACAAATGTGAAAGTTACATTTGTGTATTGCTTGAATACATGCTTATAGAAAGCGTCACATATCCTTTTGCTTCCAAGGAAAAATCACATAATACACATGTATGCTTGCTTCCCAAGAATTTCACATGACTAGAATTTAGCTGTGGAAGAAGGTGACATTTTTAAATTGAAGTCAACACTTTCAGAAGGTAGTGCCAATTTGTAAACAAGATGTTTTATGCTCATAGTAATATGACCAGCAATTTTGAGTTTAAAATTCCTGATGGTTTTAAGTTTTCACATCTGTAATCTAAACAGACATCACATGAAAAATTTAAGTGGACATCCATACTCTCATTAATTGCCAGGGAAGGAAATGCATGTAAATTTCTGGCCCTCCAAACATTTTCATTACTTTTATTCTCAAGAACTCAAACTGCGTTTAAAAAACAGTGAAGGTCCGTTACTATAACTGCATCAGTGAAGGTCTATTACTATAAATGCATCAAATAAGATCTTCTCCTTTACTTGTACTCTTTTGCCCCAGGTCAGGTAAGGAATCCCAACAGAGTCAAAGTTGAATGGAACATTACACTTGAGATGTTTATTATTTAACAAAGAAAAACGTTCAGAATAAAAAATTTCTCTAGTCACCATGTAACTCTCATTCCATCTTCTTCAAAGACACACAAACTACATTACAGAAAGTATGCATTGCGTTCACACTATTAAATAATTTTTGTACACTACTGTAGAATCTCTTTCATCCTATTTCAGACATTAGATACATTTAAGTCTGTGCTTCTAGGCATAAACTCAGTACTAGGTGACCACAAACTCCTCCTGTGCTACATGCTACCTCTGCTAAAAGATTACAGTCAAAACAAGCAAGAGACATTAGAGCAGTGAAGTGGAAGACCAACACACGTAAACATCTCAGTGCCACAGGCAAGGCTAGAACCCCATCCGACCAACTCCTGGCTGTGCCCTGCTTACTGGGGCACAGCCACAAACTGCTTCTCCTCTCACTCTTAAAAAAACATGTATATACTCTCTCACTCTTAAAAAACACATATATACTGTTCATATTTTCCACAAGGATCCAAAGCAATACCATAACTCTGTGTTTGTATTCTTAAATAAATAAGAGTTTTATAGATGGTTTGGTCTGACAGGAAATAAATGTTATATTTCATGGCAAGTTAAAAAAAAGCATTTTTAACATAGAAAATATCACTAGACTTCATTAAATACACAATTTCAAATGGAATTCTGACCATTATTTCAGTCTCTGAAAACATACCAGATCATCTGATGAAGGTACTACTACTGAGATCAAAACTGGAAATGTGGTTTATTCATTTATTGTTGAGTTTCATGCCTTTAAGATTCAAACATACTCAAAATTTAACAGGATTGGTACCGACTCGCAACGAAAGTGTCAACT